TTCCTTGCCCTGGATCCCACAACCCAGGATTCCGAATTCAAAAAGGAAAATTTTCCCGGATTCCGGTAAGTCCAAATGAAGTTTTGCAGTCCAGATTGATTAAAACAGTTTATCATTTATTAGTGAAAAAAAATTAAGGGGAGGGAAGGGGGGGGGGGGGGGCTTATTAACTTCCCTTGAAAAGGGAGGGCTTATTAGAGAGAGAGGGCTTGCTTAATTATAAAGGATTTGGGGTATTACTGTACCAGATGATAAGAAAATTCAATTCTGTCCGTATACTATTTATTTACTGCTGTGGCGGATCCAGGGGAGGGGCCTGGGGGGGCGTGCCTTCTTCTTATTTTTAGACAAAACTGAGGCCCGAAGGGCCGAAAAAATTTTTTTGGAGACCCCTCACCCCCTAATCTGAGGGTCTGAATCCGCAACTGTACTGTACCTTACTAATTGACGTCGATTTGTACTAATTGACGTTGATTGGGCACGGGTGTAAATTGTACCACCTCAGTTGGATCAGCGGAGTTAGAAGAATGCCAGAAAAATATGAAATGAAAATACTACTTACGCCATCCCTCAGGACTTTCTGATGCTGACAAGTCAGCATACTGTGTACATAGTGTAAAATTGAAGACTGAAAGCGAAATCGCCTGACAAAAGTGCCACAAATTGACTGACTTTATTTTCACGAGAGAAATACAGGAAGGCTGTCGCTTCACGCCCGGTTAACATTAAAAATCGTAAACATAAGAGAGAGATATATGCACAATAAAAGAAGTAAAAAAACGTCGCCTCATGAGAATTTATACTTAACCGGGTTCTAACTGGCATCGTTGCTGGATGTGGAAGCCTCGGCTTCCAGTTGAGCTCTCAAGGTCTTGCCATATACATGGTACAGATAGTCCAAAATATCTACAGAAACAGACGATGAAGAAACAGAAAACGTTTAGATACACTAAACGCCCTGAGTTAACCGCTCCTGAAGGCTTATCTGTTTTTTACTGCTCCTGGACTGGGGGGATTATAGAAGAAAAGCTTATAATCAGAGGAGGAGAGCTCAAGAAACTATCACTTGATTACCATATCAGTTAAGGGTAGAAAGAAACTGAAGGAACTTTAAAATTAGTTCTAACATTTGAGTCTGTGGGCGAAATCAAATAACACCATTTCAGCAGTACTTTCACATGGTACTATTTATTTAGTATGTATTTATTTAGTATTCTAACTGTTGAGTGCCTGGATGAAATCCTATGGTGTGACCATTCAAATGAAACCACTTAAGCAGTACTTTCACAAGATACTATCTATTTTTGACTATTTCAGAAAATAAAATTTGACATTTTTTCTTCAATTTTTATCTGTAACGGACTTTCATGTCAGAAGAGTTAATCACCTAAGAGACATCTTGGCAAACTTTATCACAGGAGTTTGGCGTTAAGTAGATTCTGAGAATCTGCAATTTGACGTACCTTCAAACTCCATCTGGTGATAGTTTGGCGCTTTTCTTTTAACTTCTAACCATTTCTTTCGGAGCCACTGAGGAGGATAATTGCTGAAAAACGTAGTTAACTCACGTTAAAGAACGAATGAAGAAACATAAAATCAGAAATACTTAGAAACAAAACTAAACAACAGCTTTTCTCAAATACCCATGTTAAATCAGAATACAGATATAGATAATCAGAATACTGAATTAGGTTGTGTTTTCCTTCCCGTCAGCTCCTGCGATTTTCCTTTTTGGTGAGCACGCCAAGCTTAAACTTTGACCAAAACAGAATTTATTTTAAAATTGTAGAACACAAACGTAAAATCATATTGTTGAGAACCTTCGGGCCGTTTGATTTACTAGCGCGCCTTAGGTAAAAGTTTATTTTCAAGGCACTAGGCAACAAGAAGATAATAGGAACTTCAAGGTCCAAAACCGCGAAGGCAACGAGAACGTCGCTTTAAAAGTGAAATTGCTTTCTTTCAGTCTTTATCGCGATTCTGATTCCATTTCCTACCCAATTACTTAGTCAAATGTTGACGAAACCTCATGAGGTTGAATTCCAAGGGACCGCATCCAAGTTCAGAAGGAGAAGTAAAATTTCGTCGTTGCTTGTTTACGTTCCCCGTAAAACGCAAAATTAGGCATTTTCACGTCGTAGTGGTGCAAAAACGGCAAAGAAATGTACAAAAAAGTGTGATGCACGCGCGAAGTTGTCGTTTGGCATATTAAACCTGGCGTTTTTTTTTTCTTTGACGTCCTCGTTGCCGTTGCGTCGTTGAAGCTTAAAGTCCCTACTACCGCGATGGAAACGCATACGGCAAAATAAAAAGTAAAGATTTTCGTCAATTTTCTTAACACTATATCGCTAGCAGAGATTAGAAAACCACATTTGTAGTATTCTCATCAAAATGATCATTGTTTAGTCCAATATAAGTTTCAGCTCACCTCTTGAAGTCAGATTTCACCTCCATCCAATCCACATCGCATTCTTGGGTTATACCAGAGTTGTATAATCTACCAAAAATAATAAAATAATCCTAAGGGAGAAAACCAAAACCCAACAGAGAACGGCGGCGCAACATTTTCTCTCACACACCAGGGTTGCAGTACACAAACAAGAAATGTTTCCTAACAAACCTTGTGATAAGTCGAAGCTCATTCTGTTTTGTCCACTTTTTCTCCTCTTCATCGTTCATCCAGGAAAGATTTTCTAACCTGAATTAAGGAGAAAAGGCCATTTCTTAGCGTTTTGGAACGTTAAACCTCTCTTGTTTTGTGGATGAAATCCTATGGTGTGGCCATTTAAATGAAACCTCTTCAGTAATACTTTTCACATGATACTATTTGTGTTTCTGCATTTTTAAAAATTACCTTAGGAATTTTTGGTAAACTTTGACTTTGGGCACTTTTGGGTGTGAGAAGGAGAAATATAAATTATCTAGTACAGGTGGCATATCTTAGGCTTGATTTTTGCTGCTATCTTGGGTCCGGTCTTGTCCCTGAGCGCGGGATCATTTACCGAAAGCGACTGGTAATTAAGCCTAAGCATATTCTTGCCGTTCATATAGCAACCCAAGGTGGGACGTGATATCAAATAAAGAACAAAAACTTGCCAGAAAAAATATCATGGAAGAAATGGTGCCCACTTTATTTTGCCTCCCCCATTTTTCAACTCATTCTGTTAGCCAAAGAACAGATAAAAGCTAGTGTAAACTCACCACTTCCGTCTACACTGTTCAATGTTCCTTGTCTTCACAATTTTTGCCACATCAGGCCAGTATATACCATGGAATGGTACTGGTTGATCTTCAGCTGTTTTGGTGACTTGATAAACTGCTTCTTTAAGGCATTTAACCTCATCCTCTGTCCACGTTCCTCTGCCACCTAATAATAATAATAATAAAAACAAACAAACCGTTTCACTCCTTGTTATTTGCTGTTGTTGCTGTTTTCCTTTCAAAAAATCTCACATAATGCCTAACTATATGCTATTTAAACCATACCTTTCACAATGACCTCCCTCGTACCCAGAAGTCTCTTCGATGAAAATTTACGCTCAGAGGAGGCCAGGGCGGGAAGGAGAAAACGGGCCAGACGCGCCTCGCCTCTCCTTCTTCTCCTTCCCATAGCCCCTTACGTTTTGTCACCCATCGCTCGCATTTCGTGCTCGCCTCACAGCGAAAAATGAGGTGCGTGAGGGGGACGCAGTTACAATGACACATAAGACTAAGGTGACATACACATGTACTCATAATGGTGTACCCCTATACAAACCCTTCCCTTCAACAAGGAGAGTACCAAAATAATAATTTGAAATATATTTTACCAAAAGTAATGGAATCACAAGGTCATAAAAAAGATTCCTAACCACCCTGTGTACGCCGATTTTGCGCAAGTCCCCGATACAGTCCTCCATGACTTCACAGTTCTCCTTAAATTTTAGCTCAGCAAGTAAGGGACCATTCTTGACCGGTAAGGCCAAAAATATACACCAGAGGCACACTCTCATGCGAGGGGAGGGGCTTCGCGTTCATGACGGCTTTTATTTTCAAGAATCCTGTCAACCAATTGACCGAAAATTATTTTAAACACCTCAAGACAAAGAGTTTTACGAATGAAGGTTGCCTTTGCTGTTAGGGACAATTTAGTAACAAAAGTCACGGAAAGTGTTGCTTCAAGCGGTAAACTTTACCAGTTACCGCCTAATAAGGAGAAAACGGTGACTGGTGTAATTCAGGACTGTCACTGTAAGAGCCGGGGCCAGGGATTTGGCTACTATGAGTGTAAACCCCAGCTACTCTTATAGGAAACAAAGGAAAATAGAGCCAAAAGAACTTCGTAGCTGTACAGTTCCCCTCCTACTAATTGCATTTACCCAGAAACTTGAAATTTTAGCCACAGCCCTGTGTAATTATAATTAAATTTCGACCCTGCTCGCCATATAGCCTCCAGAAGCTCAGTGGTTAGAGCCTCCGAACTAGAACTCAGAGGGTCGTGAGTTCGTTTCTCACCTAGAGTTCGGAATTTTATCTCAGCTTTCTGGGGTTAGATTTCTCCATCTTCCAAAATATAAAAATTCAGAATGACTTCATATAAGACATAATGCCATGGAAGATGTAAACAAAGTATGAGGTAAGGATCGAGCACCACAAAGCTCTCAGAACAAGTTTTTTGATTCGTTTACAAAACAATAGAGATCTTTAGATTCGAAGATGAGGGGGACAAGATTTAACTAAAAGTTTTTTCGCACATCCTTAGAAAAAGATACCCCAAAAAGCTTCATTTCACTTCTTTTTTTTTACCAGAAAGATTGGAACTGTTATTTTTATTGAAGGGGGTTAAGCCCTCTCTCAATCCCAAAATGATAAAACTTCTGTTAAACATTTGATAACCAGTGTTGCCACTATTACATGTTGGACATTTTTCGCTAAAACTTGTAGTAGAATGATGACAACTATCACATTTTCCCGTGACACTGGTTCTCGTGCATACACTACATAACACTGAGGAAATTCCTGCACTCGTAGTCATCATCTTAGCGGGAATGTCACTAAGATTTCAAATTGCTGGGTAAATACAACAAGTAGGTGAGGAATAAGACAGATAGGGATTTCTTTGGTTCTATTTTTATTTCATTTTCCTATGAAAGTCGCCAGGAGGCATGTTCTTAGGTAGCCGGGGTAAATCCCCTGCCCCCCGCCTCGTAAGAGACAGCCCTTATCTTAGAATCTAAAGGTCTCTACTAAATGAATGGACAAAACAATGTCCTAAGCTTCAAAACGAATAGAAGGTCTGTTTTCAAAGCCCAATGAAAATAGACTAAAAGAAATTTTTGAGAACATGAGGCTCCAGAGGGGTATATGATGGAGTACCACGCCCTCCTGAGGTAATTCCATTATGGGTAGTTCTGTACTAACCTTCAGTGGTTGGCAGCTTTGAGTATTTGCGGTTTACAGACATCCGACTCCTGCCCAATAACTGGCCAATAGTAACCCAGTCTGCACCATGCACTGTATGTAACCTTAATAAGAAAAACACTAGTGTAAATAAGTGTCCCGGCTCCTGTTGGGCAAAGAGTGCAAAGCACTATCCACCAAATTCAAGTACAGGGGTTGAAAAAGTCATGTTTGGTCAGCCCCGAAAAGCAGACTTTCCTACCAGGGAAAATAACTCTTTCAGATTCACTTGTGGCAAGGATGAGAGTGAACCGTTTTTTTTTTCTTGACTTCTCACATTTTTTGCAAGTAAACTAACATAGTCTCACCTTTTCAGTTCTCTGACTTCTTCTTCAGAGTATCTGATAAAAATTAATGATAGTTATTATTAATACAAAGAGCATCTGTTAGGTCACTAGTGAATCCATAATTTTGTGGGCTGGTTATTTAAAAATATCTTTAACATGTTCTAATGTGAAGGGCAAATTTTGAGGCTGTCAGATGTCAGGTTGAGATGACAGAAGTGTCTTTCTTTTAAAAATTAGGGAGCTTAAGCTAGCAAGAAGACCACAACTGTGAAAGTTTCACTGAAAAATAGAATTGGTGTTCCTTCAAATTTTAACATAATACATTTATTTAGCCTCGCTCATGTCAAATGTATGTGAATTTTCCTGGAGTTGAATTTTTCATCCACATTCAAAAAGAGACAGGCAGTTTCATGGTCCTGTGTTCACTTCCTCTAAGTACAAAATGTCACATCAGGGATTTTCGAGTTGTATTTGCACAGCAGAGTCAAAAAATGTACCAAAATGTATGATATACGACTACAACACTCTTGTTTTTTGACATTCCATCATTGTTGCTCAGGCCACCTACTCACTAAGACTGTGTCATTACTATTCAGCCTCAGAGATCTGTTGACTAATTCTTCCAGAAAAGCAATATTTTGTGAGGATGTCACTCAAGGGTCATACTAACAAGGCTTTCAGATAGGAGAATCATTGAGTATTTTTCACCCTTTCATCCCCAATATCAAATACAAATTCCTCAGCCTGATCTTCATACATTTCCTTGAAGAGTTACCCAAGAGAATTTGATGAAAAATTAAAGCATTTTTTCTTTGGTGATGACTTTACTAATTCTCAAAACCTTTTCGTTTGACTATGAAAGGATATTGTTGGGAGAAAATTGATTTTGGTCACTCTTGGGGCATAAAAAGTGGGCAAAAAGGAATGTGGTTTTAATAAAATGGTTATTGTATAGAAGCCAGAGTGGCTATGAGACGAGGCTCCATTGTATGGCCCTCTCAAGAGACCTACACTGCAAGCCTTTCTACCATAAAGTGATGACAATGAAAACTATTAACTAATGATCACACTAACTTTCCAACGTAATTTGATTCGTCATAAATTCTCGTTGCACATTTGTAGATAGTGTTCAGTGGTCTCAGTATACCTCTTCCTAGAGTAAAAAAAATTGGAAAAAAAAATTGTTATTATCACCTTCATGTTCAGGTCTGCCCAAATCAAGATCACCTTATTGAATGTCAACTCTTCAATATTATCATTAAGTATTTTATTTTTATTAGCTTCACCAAAAAAAAAACAAACAAACAAACAAATAGAAAGAACATTGGCGGGGACACCACAACAGCTGTGGCCAATTACAGCGGGCCAGGATACTAATAAAAAGAATAAAAAAAAGAAATATTAAAAAAACACAGCGATACAAGAAAAAAATCGGCTACATACAACAAGTTATTTGACGAGACAAGGGACGAGCACTATTACATTTTAACAGATAGACTTCAACGAACGTGGGTCTTCACAATCATAGGAAACAGCTAACGCAAACTTATAATAATTAAAAAATAACCGATTTAAAGGAAGCTAAGGTCTAATTTATTCCTTAAACAATTCCAAATTCTACTAGTTCTAATGAGAAAGGATTTCTGGTACATAGTAGTTTTACATTTCTTAATTATGTATTTATTAACATTGCTGGTTGACGATCTAGTGCGTCTACTGTATTTGCGAGAAAAAAGACAGGCTCGTAGCAGGGGGAGGGGTAGGGGGGGCTCGAGCCCCCACCAGAAATTTTCAGACTTGAATTAAATTCTGCTACAAAAGTGGAATTTTTGTACTAAAATGGACAGCTGTCAATGGAAGCTAAAGTTTCAAAGTATTGTCGATCATAGTAAGATTATGTACTGTTGTTCTTCTGTGCAATTTAGAATTGTGTGAATAAAGGAAATCGTATTTTTGCTCTGCCCAAAAACAACCAACAGCTTTAAAATATTTGCTTATTAAGCATCAAAATAGTCAGAAGCAAAATGGATCAAAATGTACCTATGACAATCCCTGAACTTGACCTCTTGAACTTTATTGGTTTCCTAAGAGGTCCGCCAGTGTAAAATATACTACTGTACTAGAGTAAAACTTAGGTTTTTGGGCGTTTATATTGAAAGTCTTACAATGTCTTCGCAAGAGCCGCCGAAAAAGAAATCCAAACAAGTTGAGAATAAGCAGGGAATACGTTTATCATGGGTAAAACCATGCAGCAGTGACACAGAGCCTGGTGTAGTCGAAGAAACAATCCGTATCAAAGAACAACCCGGAAATGTCATGCCAGCAACCAATGCCGTTAGTGAAAGATCGTTTTCAGCTTTAAAGCGGGTGAAGACGTATTTGCGCTCAACAACGGGAGACTCTAGACTGAACAACCTCATGATGTTGCATGTTCATAAGGATAGAACAGATGCTCTGACCCTTGTAGACGTAGCTAATGACTTCGTTGGGGAGAAAGAAAAATGAAAGCAATTGTTTGGCAAATTTTCTGTGAACGATATCCCAAACAAGTTCTCTATTTCGTCAAAGTCAACAAAAACGGAAAATTAGAGACACGAACAAAAGTATTGTAGACAAATGTAGTGATCTGACATGTACTAAGAAGTATGCTTTAACCGATGGACCGGAGCAAGGTGGGGGGGATAATGTGGGCCACTCGCTCAGCCCCCCCCAGTCATTTTATGCTTGCTACAGGCCTGCTTAAAGATATAGAGAAAAAAGACGAAATTGGTTTATTTTGTTGAAGGGGTTCATCTTAGTGTCATGTTTTGCTCTATACTTAATCCAGGGAAAAATATTGACATAAACAATATAACATTGCTCATGAATACAATGTAACAGTATTTTTAGAGTGTTGCATGCACTATTGTTGGTTTTCACATGATGTCACTAAAATTCAAACTATAAAAATATCCATCCTACTGAGAGTTTACTTTCATGGTGTATTAGAGCAGCTGTAAACTAATTTTCAAACCAATCTTTGCTTCAAAAGGTTTCTTGGTTTTGTAATAGAGTACGTTTCAATTTCTAAGCTTTTGCGTGACGCAGCATTTACACGACGGCCGAGAGAGCTGTCATTTAGGTTAAAAAAGTGACTTTTTTCGAGGAATTTTGCTATCTAAACAGTTGAAGTATTAGAAAAAGTTTTACTTTAATGTTTATGAGTTCCTCTAGGAGTAAATTCATGCTTTTGTAGCAAAACTCGGTCCGGTAACAGATGTTTCTGTTGATTTCCATCCGCCGTGTTGGAGCTCTTCCAGATGAGCTCCAGCATGGCGTCTCCATACAAAGCTCTATAAATTTAGGTAAAACATTTCCTCGGATATCTCGTATACAAATTATTCCTTCAACCCAAATCTTGGTGAGGGTCTTTGTATATTTACCTCCTTTCCTTTCCCAGATTCTGGACTTTATCTATCGAATCATTTTGATTTTTTTTTTATCTATTTTGAATGGCATGACACTGAAAACCAGCAATTGGTTCTCGTCTATGGTGATAAAAAAATACTGTCAGCATGCAAAGAAAGTAGTGTCCGATAGCCCATGGGTAGTGGATTTTGCTATCAAGCGAGTGATTTTCGTTCTTAACCTGCCCGACGGGTAAGTGCTGTTTTTTAAGGAATTTGAGCAAAAAAGAACTGTAAAATCAATTCTGCTTGTCAAAAAGCTTTTGGGACTAGTTGAAATGGTCTCTGGGCTAGTAAATGCTAGCTTCAGCTTGCCCAAATGGCAAGCTGTAAAAATAATTTTCTTTGCACCCTGACTGTACACATTTGACTCACCAAGCTCTTTGTAAAATTCGTTTTGACGACCAAAGCGCTTCCAGAATTTTCTATCTTCCCTGTCTGTACCTGAGCGAAGAAGAATTCTAACTGGATCTGGCAGTTCATACGTCTGGCAGAAACAAAAAAAAATGGTTGCTACAAGTAATCAAGGAACAGTAACCTACATTTTATTCTCTTTTCATTAATTTGCTTTTTACAAGCATCTGAACTGAATATTGCCTTATGACCAAAACAAACAGACTCACATACAGTGCCGCTCAAAAGTAAGTTGACAGTCACTCGAGACTCGATCCTCTAGACGCGAGACTCGATTCTCGACTCTTGAAACTTTCGAGGATCGAGTCTCAAGTTTCGATGAACACAAAGGTAAAAAGGCTTTTCGAGAAGGAAACATTCACACCTTGTGCATTTCATTCAGTCGCAGTCAGAACTCTCTTAGTGACAAACAAACACAGTCGCAAACCAAACACAGTCAACAAACACAAAAGCCTGCCTTGAGCCTGCAATAGGGGATGTGCAGAAGCTTGCGCAGAACGTTTTTCCGCCCTGAATATGTGGGTTGAGTTTGTTGTTGGTTTTCTTCCTTGCTCCAAGAGGTTTTTCTCTGGGTATGTACTCCAGAGAACCACTTATTGGATATGATACCTCTAAATTGTTATTTTGTGAATTTATTAAATTACTTATTTTTTGTACTTATTTTATGTATTACCTCCACAAATTTATCCATATTTGACTGTAGTAATCTGAGTTCCTGCAAAGACCACTTGCCTGTCTTTACCTTGATTCCTAAGTTAAAAAATGATAATACGTGTAGACTACTTACTATACTAATAAAAAAAGCTAATAAATAAATAAACTTTATAACAACAACACAATCACTGGTGCGGTACTTGCCTTTCTCTTTTAAAACCTTTAGCCGTTCCGTGGGAACAGTCCAAGTTTCATGAATTATCTCCGCATGGGCCATTGCCTCTCTCAACTTTTCATTATCTTTTTGCTTTTCTATGCTTTCTGCCATCACAGCTGTTGAGTTACTGACTTCTTTTTCATCAAGTATATTACTAATAGCCAAATCCTGTCCCATTTTTCTTCTCTCTTCTACCTTTCTTTTTTTCTTCTTTTCCTTCTTCTGCTTTTCTTTAACTTTTGGATCCTCTACATTCTCTACCATCTCAGCTCTTGTGTTGATGGCCTCATTTCTATTATTTACACCTGTCATATCCATAATACTCACGTCTTGTTCCCTATGATTGCTCTCTTCTTCCCTTCTCTTCTTTTTTTTCTTCTTCTGCTTTTCTTTAACATTTGGCTCCTCCACATTCTCTACCATCTCAGCTCTTGTGTTGATGGCCTCATTTCTATTATTTACACCTGTAATATCCATAACACTCTCGTCTTGTTCCCTGTGGTTGCCCTTTTCTTCCTTTCTCTTCTTCTTTTTCCTCTTCTGCTTTTCTTTAACATTTGGATCCTCTACATTCTCTACCATCTCAGCTCTTGAGTTGATGGCCTCATTTCTATTATTTACACCTGTCACATCCATAACACTCTCGTCTTGTTCCCTTTGATTGCTCTCTTCTTCCTTTCCCTTCTTCTTTTTCTTCATCCGCTTTCCATTCATTTTATTTCTTTGCTCCACATCATTACTGGTGTCAAGAAGAGACCTTTCATCACCTGATTTTAACATACCTTGTTCACGGCAACCATGCTTGTTTTTAGCCACTTGATTACAAGAAATGCTCTCTTTATCCTGATTTCTAGGAGACGATTTCACCATGTCCATGTAAATATGAGTTGGCAATGTTTCTGTGTTGTGATTAGTATCTACGTCTTCAGTTAAAATAGTCGCTGTTTTGTTTTTCTCTTTCTCCTTGTCCTTCTTTTTCTTCTTCTTCTTTCTACTCTCCCTTTCTTTTTCAGATCCTGACCCTACAACATTATCTATAAATGAACAACCACTACTTGATATGTCCAACACACTTGGCTCAAGGTAATCATACACATTGTCACTTTCTGCTTTTTCATCCATCTGATGGAACTTGTCTCTGCTATTCTTATTTTGCTGCAACTTATGCTTAGTTGTTGTCTGCAAATCAACCCGTACATGATTACTAAAAGACGCCTTTGGTTTCCTTTTCTCCTTATTATCACCATTTTTTGATACGACTAATGGATCAAGTCTCAATCTTTTGTGTTGTTTTTCAGCATCTGAGCCACCTTGCTCCAGATCATCTACGAGATGCCTCTTCTTTGCTTTATTTAATGTCTTCAATGTTGCTTCACTTTCATCAGTTTCATAATCTCCTTTGCCTGATTTAAAATTGTTTTTAGACTTATTCAATGTCTCAGCTACATCATCCCGCGCTTGCTTATTCTCTTTCTTTTTCTTTCTTAATTCATTTCCATCTTTCCTTTCATCATCGTAACCATTTTCTCTTCTTCTTTTCTTCTTCTTTCTGTGATGTTTCTGTTCCACTTGTAAGCCAAACGCCTCCCCATGCAGCTTACCATGCTCTTGGGACATTTCCAAGGTCACTTAATACAGTAGTGGTTAAGTGTTTTCAAGATCTCGATCCCGTGAATTAGTTATTTTAACAGAAGTAGGGTTCCCAAAAAGCTGAAGGCTCTCCCAGACAAGTTGCATTTCCGAAATAGCCGCCATGTTGAAAACAAATACTCCAAAGAATTATGGGACAAATTCTTCTAGTTCCAGGCTTCTCTCTAAGGTCATGCTTCTCGCAGAGAGAGGGTGCTCGCCTATAAAGACGACCGAAACTTTCAAAGAGACTAGATAAAAATTTGGGCAATGAAAACGTGCAACTTGTTTTGCAACATTGCTGCCAAACAAGTTAATATGCAATGTTAATCGTTTTACCACCCTCGTTCAAATCTGTCATGCAAAAAATCCGCACAGGTTGCTGCAAGTTCTTGCGTGAATTGACCACTCCAGAAAATACCTTAACATACCATAACTGTCTTTGTTGGTCACTCCAAAATTTTACGTAAGCATTGGTTGTCTTTACACTAGGCTGTTAAGTAAAACTTAAGAGCTGCTAAGTTTTCCTTAACCAAAAATTCGTGTGTGAAGGACTAAGTAAAATCTCAAGTAAATTGACTTTGCATCTCATATTTCGCTAAGTTCTTTTAAAGTTTGCTGAACTTTTGGTAGGAATACTAGCTGAATCGGCTGAACGTCGATGAACGCCAAAGAACTCGAAACTCTTTCCGCTTTGTACAATTAGTTAGAATTAATACGGCGGTGCGAAAATAGCCTTAAGTTAACCTGAAGTAAAAAGAATCGGTTGTGTGTGAAGCTTTATTTTACTTGAAGTAATTAAAATTTACTTGTCTTGAAATATTTCTTAGCTTATTTAGGCTCTAGGGTAAAGACTACCATTGTCTTCAGTTTGTCTTGGGGCCTTTTTAACCCCGAAGGGAAACAACAAAGAGTATTATGGTATGTTATGGTATTAACTGGAGAGGTCAATAATGAATTCTTATTGGATGAAATAACGCGGTAGTCACGCCATACACGTTTCTGTGGCCCGTTTTACCGTACCGTTTCCCTCGCAGCCGTCAACTCCCACAAGGTTCAGGACAGCAACATGGCCGTCGTTATATTCTTTTGGAACACCAATCTGGTAGACGTGACGTCAAGTGTAAACGCTCTATAGGAACCATGTGATCGGGATTTTTTCTGAGGGAGGGGAGACGTCTGTACACAGGCTACCACGTGATAATACACACATAACCCCTCAGAAGTACTTTTTGTATCAGATCGAACTGGAATTTGAAGTATTGGTGATAAAGGAGAGGAGATAAACTGCAGTACTCGATGAAAATACTCCGATGAAAAGTTAATACTTTCATCAACGCGCAAGCGCTGACGATTACACATGAAGCCAAACGACAGAGAAAAGTCGCATTAAAATACTGAGTTTATTTTAACTAGAGAAAATACAGGCCGGCTAAAGCTGCAAGGGCGGTTAATATACAAAAACTGTAAAACAAACGGAAGAAAATAAGGCCCAGTTCGTACGTCGTGCTTCTGACGTGCCTTCTGCCGGTTTCAAAGAAGCAGGACAGTCCGCCTCACGCCCAGCCCCCCTGGCCCCCATGAGCTTCGTGCTGAACTGGGTTCTTAATGGTATCGTTGCTAGATGTGGTTGCATCAGATTCAAGTTGAGCTCTCAGATTTTTGCCATACACATGGTACAGATAATCCAAAATATCTAGCAAAAGAAGAAGAAAAAATAAAGAAATAATATATCGTATTTCCTCGGTTAACACTCCCTAAAGGGCTCATCAGTTTCTCAATGCTCCTTGACCGAGGCGGACGGGGAGAGTTATAAAAGGGAAGGTTATAAAGTTTCAGCATGGATATAATAAATAAAATCATCAACAGGTTTTTTGTTTGTTTCTTGCGTTTGAAGGGAAAGGTGAATTAAACTTCCCTATAAATCATGGCAGTATAAAACTTACAGGAGTTTAAAGGTAGGAAGATTGCCAGCATCTTGACTAGAACATACCTTCAAATTCCAGCAAATGATAGTTTGGCGCCTTTCTTTTGACTTGTGACCACTTCTTTCGAAGCCACTGCGGAGGGAAAATGCTGAAAAAAGTAGTTAAATCACGTTTAAGACTGATTGAAGGCAACATAAAAACCAAATAGTCACCAAAACTGAAAAAAAACGGACGAAAATAAAGGAGTGTCATAATGGTCCCGTTCATTAAACTGTACATCTAGCCGAATTTTTGAAAACATGCCTGAAAAAACACTGGAATTTCGCACAGAAACTTAACGATATGTGGTGACAGTGGTGAGAATTTTTACAGGGGGCTTACCGTCTTGGTCAGTCTCATCGTCAAGCTAAGGCCTCGACCTAATTTTCCATGGGGTGTGAAAAGGCCACCAGAACAATCCCTGTGGGGGTGAGGGTGCTGCAAAAATGCAGTATTGCTAGTAAGTCTCTTTGGAAAATATTCACTGGTCAGCGGTCTCGTTTTTTTTGCCATGCCAACTTAATTAATTATTTTAAACTGACTGGCTGTTGAAAGGATACCTTAATTGCACCGATGGGCTCAGTGCGAGGATAAGTCAGTTCAAGGGGGAGGGGATGTGCCTTTGAATTTTCTGCTTAGGGGTAGCTTGAGCACCCTCAGTCATATAGGGCCTAAAGCTAAAGATGACCAAGTGGAGAGTGTCTTGTGATAGCCATGTACATCTCTTTGCTAATTAGAAGTCAAGACCAGAGTCACCATAGAGGGCTTATGGGTAAGAGCTGAATTTCTGCGCTAGAAATCACTGCGAGCGACCGTTTGCTTCTTTGATCGAGCCGCCGTCTAGCGCCATGGACGAATAAATTCAACCTTTAACGACTCGACACTTTCATCAACGCATTGCTGAACACAAATATTCAGCTGTCCGTAAACATTTTTAGAAGCTCCATCAGTGCTAAACTCTTTGTTTAACTTGTAAAATATTTTAAATATATGTTACTTTTCTTTTTAAAGAACTATTATTTTTCTTGTATTTATAGAACATTCATACTGCATTTTAATTGCTGCGGACTGCTCCCGAGAACGTCGAACCGTGGTACATTTTTAAACTTTTTTAATGGAAAAGGGAACGGTTGCTCTTTAACGGTCGCTCGCAGTTGTTTTCTGTCCCTTCATAGCGTAGAGTCCGGCCAGGAGAAACCACTGCTCGCAGGCTACCGAGACCATTNGAGAGTGTCTTGTGATAGCCATGTACATCTCTTTGCTAATTAGAAGTCAAGACCAGAGTCACCATAGAGGGCTTATGGGTAAGAGCTGAATTTCTGCGCTAGAAATCACTGCGAGCGACCGTTTGCTTCTTTGATCGAGCCGCCGTCTAGCGCCATGGACGAATAAATTCAACCTTTAACGACTCGACACTTTCATCAACGCATTGCTGAACACAAATATTCAGCTGTCCGTAAACATTTTTAGAAGCTCCATCAGTGCTAAACTCTTTGTTTAACTTGTAAAATATTTTAAATATATGTTACTTTTCTTTTTAAAGAACTATTATTTTTCTTGTATTTATAGAACATTCATACTGCATTTTAATTGCTGCGGACTGCTCCCGAGAACGTCGAACCGTGGTACATTTTTAAACTTTTTTAATGGAAAAGGGAACGGTTGCTCTTTAACGGTCGCTCGCAGTTGTTTTCTGTCCCTTCATAGCGTAGAGTCCGGCCAGGAGAAACCACTGCTCGCAGGCTACCGAGACCATTCCAGTGCAATAAAAACACGCACGACAATATAAAAAAGGTATTTTTAGCAGTTTCTTAAAAGCAGCGCGCTAGCAGAAATACTATAATCAAATTTGGAATTATCAAAATTATTGTAATAAAAATGATCATTTTTCAGCCAATACAAAATTAAACTCATCTCTTGAGGTCAGATTTCACCTCCATCCAATCCACGTCGCATTCTTGGATTATACCAGAGTTGTATAATCTGTATATATAATTGAGACAATCTTCACCGGGTGCCACGAACAAAAAGAAAAAAATCTTCAGAGCAACAAAACCTAGCTGCGCAACATTTCCTCTTGCATGCCACAGTTATAGTACACGTACAAAAATATCTTCCACCAAACCTTGTGATAAGTTGAAGCTCATTCTCTTTTGTCCACTTTTTGTCCTCGTCATCTTTCAT